GAGAGAGAGAGAGAGAGAGAGAGAGAGAGAGAGAGAGGGAGGGAGATTTTTTTTAAAAAAATCCCATTTTCTCCACCCATCTTTCATCACAAGGAATGCATTTAGCCTTCAGCGAGTTAAACGTCATTTCGATGGTTGGGCTGACTAGAAATAGTAAGAAAACGACAGTTGCTCATGAGTGTTATGGCGTCCGGTTGAGATTTTTCTGCTCAATACAGTTTTGATTTGTGCAGAATACACTTGAGTAGGCCTGCCTTCGGATCAGTATGTGCCTCCGAGACGCAGCAAATACGCCGCCCATGCTACCGATTGCGCCCTCTGCTTTAGGCTCGAATTTAAACGAGAACCGCCACGAAGTAAATGAAAAGGGCACGCTAGGCCCCCATTCCCTTGTTCCGAAGGGTTACAAAAAACTCCAATTCCAACGCAATTCGTAGGCAGCCGGGAAAAGGCGGAATCCTGGAAACTGCCTAGGAAAACATTACCAAAACACTTTGTACGCTCCAGAATTTAAAAACCAAAGCCTGCCATTGGCGCCCAGATTGCTGTCTCCGACCAAATAGTAGTTCTGAGGTAAATTCCAGGGAAACCAGCCTCTTGCATCTTCCGCGCGCGTCTGTCCTCCATTCTATCCGCACACTCACAGACACCGACGGACAATCTGTGCTCTTCATTCACAGACTGTTTGTAACTGGATTCGTACATCCAGGAGGCAGCTTCGGGGAAAAAAAGGGGGTGGATTTGCAGAGAGAGTGGCACTCGAGAAGGGAAAACCAGTAAAAGAGAAACCGGGAACCAAACCGATAAGCAAAACTTATTTGGAGGTGGGTGGGAGTGTGCGCTCGGGAATCGTGGCGCCGCATTCAAACAAGTCAATGATCCGCCTCCGTTCCTTCACCCTCTCCCCCAGAAATAAAGTGCAATCGCCTCAGAAGTGAGGTCCCTCTACAAATCAGCTCTAAGGGTGCCAACAGCCCAGTGCAGTTGCAGAAATGCGAACTGAAACGCCGTTGCTCGCGCTCGGTTTATCTTTCTCTTTTCAATCGCGCCTCCATCCAAGCCGCGGCTCTCCAGCCCGGCGCTCGGCTCTCGCCAGCCACCTGCTGCTGGAGCTGCCGCCCGAGCACGCGTCCTACCTGGAAGAGCCTGAGGATGTTGGCCACCATAATGGAGACGGAGCTGGCCGAGGCGCCGATGACTCCCAGCACCTTCTCGGGTTTNACTGAATCCAGTTGGACAACTGTTCGAACCGCTTATTATTTCCAAGTATGGGGCAGCGTAATTTTCATCTCAGACCACGGCGCAGACTTGAGTCTCCTAGGATTGGAGGGGGGGGGGGGGGTTCAACTCAAAATGAAAAATGGCCTCGCTTAAAACACAGGCTCGAAAACAGCTGATTTGGAAGAAATGGCACTGAATCCAGTTGGACAACTGTTCGAACCGCTTATTATTTCCAAGTATGGGGCAGCGTAATTTTCATCTCAGACCACGGCGCAGACTTGAGTCTCCTAGGATTGGAGGGGGGGGGGGGCTTCCTTTGGCCATTGCTTTGATACAATTGCGGAATCTTAGCACCCCGAAGGAGAAATTTGGTTTGGTAAGCGAGGCACGGACTCTCGGCCGCGATATTAAGACAAGCCACGTGGAATAAAGATTTTGTAGCACCACCTATCCCACACCCTGCAACCCACGCCCTGCTCCTCCCAGTTCGCTCCAGTTCGAGGGAGGCGTTACAGGCAACGGAAAAAAAAAACGCTTCTTCCCGGATTCCAGCATTTTATTGAAGCAACTTGGTAAACTGGCTACGTTGCCAGAGAAACAGATCAAGCTCGGGAAGCATCGAACTGAAGGGGTTTGGATTTCCATTAGAAGACCCACCACCGCTAACAAAGTGCCTTATTAGAGAAGACACTTTGAATGGGCTAATTGCTCTCCCGGTCGCTCTAGCCATATTTTTTGTCTGTGCACTGAGCGCTCTGCTGGTTAACCAATTTTCACGCCCCTTGAGGAAGTGTCCCAGAACACGTCGCTGGCGATATTTTCCTAAAGTTCACTTAATATTCCCTCCCCACTTCTTCAAATGCTTACAGAGAAGTTAAGGGAAAAAAACCACGCCATTAACTTAAAAGAACGACCGAATTCAGTTCTTCCGAAGCCTTTGGAGCAATTGAGCATGGTAACCCCCTAGAAGGCGGCCTATTCCCTAGAAACTGCGGTAAAAGACCACGGCAGTTTGCTTGCCTGCTCGGTGGTAAGAAGGAAGATCTATGGTAGAACCGCTGTCGTAGTCTTTACCAAGTGGTCATTCTAGCCGAACGCGAACCACACTGCGAATCTTTTCATCGGTCTCCATCCCCAGTAACTCCTTTACGCGCGAACGCCACGATTCCCAAGGCTTTCGAAGGAGGCAGCTTCGAAAAAATTGCTCGCCTTTTGGCAGGGATAGCGCACGCGAAAGGGAAAGCCAGCAAAAGCGAAATCGAGAAGGCAGGTCGACGAGCAAAAACTACCTGGAGATAAAAGCGTGGGCCCGAAAGCAAACGGAGGGCTGGCACTCCAGGCGGGTAGCCTGGGGATCCACTGCATTCCCTGCACCCTGAAGGAGTTGGTGCTGCTTTCAGAGAACAGAAGGGTCAAATGGGGAATGGGCTTAGACAACCTTTCCCAACCACCCTGTCAGTGAGATGCGAGCGGAGAGCGCTCCCGCGCACGCTCGATTTATCTTTCTCTCCTCGGCAGTACAATCGCGCCTCCATCCAAGCCACGGGTCTCCCACCGGCGCTCGGCTCTCACCGACCACCTGCTGCTGAAGCTGCCGCCCGAGTACGCGTCCTACCTGGAAGAGCCTGAGGATGTTGGCCACCATAATGGAGACGGAGCTGGCCGAGGCGCCGATGACTCCCAGCACCTTCTCGGGTTTGACGAAGACGGGCGGCTCGCCGTTAGTGCAACGCACGTCGGAGGTGTCCTTCTGGATGAGCGCCTGGACGAAGGTGAGCGACTGCTCCAGCGCGTAGGTGTCTCGGGAGCAGGTGTCCAAGATGCGGGCGCCCAGGGTGACGTTGGGCAGCAGCTCGGGGTCGCTGTTGATCTGGTCCAGGGCATAGAGCATGGCTTCCAAGCGGTGGACGCCGTCCTGCTGCTGGATGTCCCCGCAAGGCGCGCCGCTGGGTCCCCGGGCGTGGACCGGGAAGAGGCCGCCCAAGGTGATGTCCCCCTCCAGGCGGATGGAGTGCGGCGCGTACATCTCCTGGCCCCGCGCCCCTGCCCAGCACAGCCACTCCAGCAGCAGGCACCACCAGCAGGGCAACTTCGGCAAAGTCGGTGGCTGCACCCCGCGGAGCCCCGGCCCGAGCATGGTGCACGACGAGAGCGGAGAAGGCGGCTGAGTCGGCGGAGGAGGGCGCCAAGGAGCGGACTGGGCTGGGCAGGGCTGGGCTGGGCGGAGCTGGGTTGGGTAGAGAGAAGCGCCCGATCTGGCGGGGTCCCTCCGCGTCCCCCTCCCTCTGCGATTGGCGAGGATTCCCCCGGGGGCGGAGAGCGGCCAGGCGTGGAAGAGAGTCGAGTCCAGTCCGGCGCCAGCTGCCGTCGGCGTTCTGCCCGCCCGCGCTGCCTTTCCTGCCGCAGCTCAGCACTGGGCGAAGAGGAGGCTCGGCTGTCGCTTTAAAAGCTTGCTCGGCTCCTCTCCGCCTCCTGCTCTCGTGCTTTGCCCACCTCCTTCGCGCTCGCCCTCCTCTCCTCTCCTCTCTCTCCTCTCCCCAGCTTTGCCTGCCTGCCTCCCGCGCGTCATTACGCAGAGATGCTGGCCGAGTTAACCGTCGCTCAGCTGGGGAANGTTAGACTTATATACCGCTTCATAGGGCTTTCAGCCCTCTCTAAGCGGTTTACAGAGTCAGCATATTGCCCCCAACAATCCGGGTCCGCATTTCACCCACCTCGGAAGGATGGAAGGCTGAGTCAACCCTGAACCGGTGAGATTAGAACCGCTGAACTGCAGATAACAGTCAGCTGAATTGGCCTGCAGTACTGCACCCTAACCACTGCGCCACCTCGGCTCAATGGCTGCCGTATGATGGCTGCCGTATGTGCTGCCATATTGGGGATTTTTGAGCATTTTTTATTGCTCTGTGCATGCACTCACAGCGTGCATCAAGTGTCCATGTGCATCATGTGCAACATGCCCAGCATGCCCACAAGCGAACTGGTAGTAGTGACCCCTGGTGTGCATGTGCGGTGGAACTGAGTTGGGGCAACGTTTGTTCCTGCAAAGGAATTGCTCTCATTATATTTGCAATCAGACTACATTCCTACACCTCTCTTTCTCCGGCATCAGGCATTAGAGAAGGAGCGACACAAGCAGAGTTTGCAATGGAATATATTCAATCTCTTTTCCTCCCCTTTCCTTTCCCTCCAGGATTCTCTTCTTAATTACAGAGTCTCTGTGTTGAAAACCGATTGCTGTCCTGTCAGCCGCATGTTGAGATTCGTCCTTCTCCTCGCCGGAAGAGGAAATTTGCATCCTCTGCTGTTGATTCAATTACAGCTTGTGCGATTTTTGAGGGATGAGAGTGGGGGCATTAATCATGGCATGCTACACAGATTACAAGGCGCCATCGCTTTGAGATGTGTGAAACCTGTCTCTTCTCCTTGGATATCTTTACCTGTCTGGCTTGCAGGCTCTGAAGATTTAGTATATTTATCGACACGAGCAGAAGTGTTTTCATTTGCAGAAAGGGTTGCTGTCCTGTGTGCAAGCAAAGGGGCGGCATATGCAAAAAATAAACATGGTTGTGCATGGTTTATATGTGCTGTTGTGGCCTGCCTGCGGACAGTGGAGCTGGCTGCAGAGTCGGACAGTGAGGAGGTTGGGGAAGAACATGGGCCAGTCCTGGAGTCTGGGGAAGACTCAGACAAGGGCTCTGCATCAGAGGCAGAGAGAGGGCCAGGGACATCTGGGAGTTATTTGCTGCCTCTGGAGCCTCCAGAATCAGACATCAGTGAGGCAGAGGAACAGGCTTTGGTATATTTGGTATATTTATTTGGTATACTTTATTTGTATGCCACCCTTTTCCCTGAGGGGACTCAGGGCGGCTCACAGTTCAGGGNGATAGATGATAGATAGATAGATAGATAGATAGATAGATAGATAGATAGATAGATAGATAGATAGATAGATAGGATATAGATATAGTTATATACAGTAGAAATGAATGTATGTTTAGCACAACACACAGACAGAACTTTATATGTGAGAGAATTTAACATTTCTGTTTGTGTGTGTGTGTGTGTGTGTGTTTCCATTCTCTGTCAACTAAGTGTGTCTCATTAAAAGATTGTTCCGTACATAAATACCAAGGATATTTATTTATGATTATATTAAAATTTTGCCTTCTTTCCTAGTTGCAGTTCCAAGTCTGCTGTCCACTTATATTTCAGGTTGGATCTTCTGCAATATAATGTTCAGTCTATTAGATATTTATTAGATAGCCAAATGCTCTCCATGATATGGACTTTTAAAGAATGTAGAAAATTGTTATGATAACAATATGATTTCGCCCATATGTCTGTGTTCTCCTCACAGGCATAAATACCTTAGAAACACAAGAGCAGCATTCTGGAGGAATTTGCTATTTCAATTAACTTCTCTCATGCTATTCTGAAGCAGAATGTTGACATCCATCTAATTCCTCTAACATTGAGGGGGAAAACATGTAGATTCATATATAGGCTCCTTTTCTACTAGGTATCCAGCTTTCAAGGACAGTGAGTAATAATCCTTAAAGTTGACAGTTATCTGTTACTTTGAAATAGTCACAACATTTCAGCCTAAATAATTAGTCTTTATCTAAGTAATTAATAGTGGACTATTTATTTAGTTCTCTCTAGTAATGGAGAATTGATTCAGTAATATGAATTCATCTTAAGGATGTTTATGCTGTGCCATTATGTTTTATATGCAAATGTTATGGCCTGTATCATTATTCCAAGTGGCTGCAGAAGACCTTCTAATACTCATTATGATGTGGTAGATTTTTAAATGAGAGCTCTTACTAGTTGCTTCTTTAAATTGCACTGCTCTTAAAAACTGGAAGTCAATTATTAAATGCTCTATGCCATATAGTATGTAGGTTAGTGGGTTCTTTTATAATGATTTTCCTGCAAGAGAAACAAATAATTTAGATTCCATTTTGAAGCAATCTTTTTATGAAGAAAATAGGACAATGAGAAGATGCAACACAACCTAATAATAAAGCTTGTGCTGATGACAGTAGGATGAAATCAGTGACAGGTGTGTCCCCATAAATTTTGAAAACCACAGAACTAAAGAAAGCTTATTTAAATGCATATGAATCCTTATTGTTTTATAAGCTCTTCATGCAGTAGTAGAACATGCATCCCTTTACCATTGTATCTCTCATACACATGCAACAATGCTGTACAGCTTCCAAAATATGCAGTTTTAATGGATCCCTGATATGGACTATTGATCCTCTTTGTAAAAAAAAAAATGTAGTTGGATATAAAGGAAACCACAAGATTTTGATGCAAATATAAAATGTTCCCTTCTGTTGACCAGATTCATATTAGGCCATGTGATTGCTTTTTCATCAATCACATTTGGAATTTTTTCTTCAAGAAACAAGCTTTGGCTTATAAAGAACAGTCAGCTTTATATGACACATTGTAAATACCAAACAAACCAGTGGTGGGTTCTTACCAGTTTGGACTGGTTTGGCAGAACTGGTTTGGCAGCCTGGATTTGCTGGAACCAGCAGTGACCCAAGCCTGCCATGCCCCCAAACCGGGTCTCTGGTCCACACCATAGGTGCCACCATCTTGTTTTTGGCTTCTGCACATGCACAGAGCAATTTTTATTACACTGCGCATGCACGCGCAGCATGCCCACAAGCAAACTGGCAGTAGTGACTGGTGGAACCCACCCCTGAAACAAACCACATTGTGTACAGGTAGTCCTTGACTTATAACCAAACCTGAGCCCCAAATTTTCATTGCTAAGTAAGATAGTTCTTAAGTGATTCACACTCCATGGTATGTCCTATTTTTTGCCACGGCTGTTGAGTGAATCACTGGAGTTGTTGAGTGAACCATATAATCAGGAAGCAAATCTGCCTTTCCCATTGACTTTGCTTGTCAGAGGTACAACCATCATACACACACACACACACAGACACACACACACACACACACATTTTGGTTGCCAAGCACCCAAAGTTAGATCATTTAACTGTGGGAATGCTGCAATGCTCATAAGTGTGAAAACTGGTCATAAGTCCCTTATTCAGTGCTGTTGCAACTTTGAAAGGTCAATAAACAAATGGATGTAAACCAAGGACTATCTGTAATTTATGAAGTACATCCTTATATTTTCATCCAGTCCTCCAACAAACTACTGGAAATATTGATTTGGTAGGTTTATTAATTGAATACTCAATGGAGACATTTCCCTATAACATATATGTGATGCAAGGAATGAAATATGACCAAATTATAAAATGCTACAACAGTTAAACTATTAGATTAGTGATGATTCTGAATATCCCATGTTTATTTTAGGATATGACCACTTATTTTCTTAGCCAGGCTGCTTATATAGTTTTAAGCTGAATATGGAGGTAAAAAGTCTAAATGGTGTAGACAATTTGATTTTTAATGGGGGCAATTTGAATCTTGTTTAAATCAAGTTAATGATCTTTTAGGCTTCCTCTGTGTGAGTAAGGTTCACTTTTTGAGTAAAGTAAGAATTATATATCACAAAGGGGTATCAGGATTTTAACGATATTTAGATAGGGCAGGCCAGGCCAATAAATGGTTGGGAACACTGGTATAGACAGTGGTTTCTACTCAATGGAAAAGTATCACTGTCATGTGATACTTTTCATGGTGAAATGAATGTCTGTTCTAATCCTCTCAGAAAAAGGATAAGGTGGAATATGATGGCTGATCTGAAAACTACCTGCATTTTCTTTCTCTCTTTCCACAGCTTTCTCTAGAGTGGAGTTCTAACTTGACTAAATCTTGCTTGATATCCCCAGCCATCCTTGTTTAGCCTTTAAATCCCCAGCTATCACTTTTTACTTTTTCAGTACTTGTATTTTTCCCCTTTCCCTTGCTAGATAAGAAAGTCAAATCTTATTTGCCCAGAGTCATGAATGTAACAGATGTGAGATGATTGACTACATAAAATGAATGAATGGATGATGGATGGATGGATGGATGGATGGAT